TATATGCAAAATGATTATTTTTAATAGAATTTGTTAATCACTTTTAACACATAAATTTTTTTTTTTAAATATGTCTTACTATTTGAATATAATAAATACGAAAATAAATATTTATTAAGGTGGACTTTTTCTTTAGTTATATTTCAAGTTTTACTCTTCTTATTCAGCATCCCTTGTGTCCATATTGGAAGCATCATTTCCATCCTCGTCCTCAGTACGTATCCTTTTAGCTGTTGCAGCCTCATCAGTGCTACACCTTTTACGTTTTGCAATATTGAGTTTCTTCTCAAGTTTTGTTTCATTTATTACAACCGAACGGCTTATAGTATCACCACCACCATGTTGAGTTAATTCATCCTTTTTTCGCTTACCAAGATCTTGCGCATGAATGGATTGCTTTTGTCCACAGATTGTCTTTTCATCATTCACAACTCGAGAAGTTAAACCTTCTTCATTTACATTAAGGCTCTCTGAAATTGAATTTTTGCTACGACTACGTAAATTATAAACGTGTTCTATCTTGAGCTCTGTCTTTTCTACAGGTAATAGTTGCCTTTGTGGTAGATCATCACAAACGACACTACCACGGATACTTAAATTACTGTCCGAAACTGACGTCTCATTACACACCATCGTTACAGTTCAATTGGAGGAGATTGCGAACTGCAGCTCGATCCTGCTAAGTCCGTATTTGATATTGCATCGTTTCCAGATGCTTCTGTGTTCCGGCTGTGGTATGACGGAGATTAATCACAAAAAGAAATTAGAGAAAAAAGTTTTTATGAATATTAATCTAATTTATAATTTTCATAAAAATTAATTACCTTTCTTCCACGTTTGATTTGCCAAATAATTTCTTAAATAACCACATAATTATTTTGATTGAAAAATATAGTATATATCAGTCAAATTCTTATGAAAATATTAAGAAATTTTTATCGAAAATTTTTTATTAAGTTGATTTGACTGTTCTTTTTTGTCATAAAATACAAATATATTTGAAGTGTCATTATTATTTATATATAACTTAAAAATAAAAACAAGAGTACTGGATTAAAATCTGATTATAAAACTTGTTATCACAGATTGTAAACCTGGACTTTCTGGACTTTGTGTTCTACTCTTATTCTAGAACGTGTTATTTCCATACGAATATTTCTTATGATCTATTTATTTATGTAGTGGACACATTGAAACCTTTCATTAAGTAAAAAACCTACTATTACTTATCTGTTATGAAGTCAGGTAATTTGCGAATAAAATTATTTAAAGTTGTCGGACCAATGTTTAAACAGCAAATACTTGATCTGTCTGCGATGAAATATTAATATATGTGGGAAAAATAAAAGTGAGATAAATAAATATAGGAATGACAGGTAAATACGAAATAAACTGAAATCAAATTATTTCAATTACGAGTACTATCAGAGGACGTAGTTATTATTGATTCTCTTATATTATTATTAAAAGGGTTTCTCCCCTTGTGAAAACCCAATCAATAAGCAAATGTTACTACGACCTTATAAAAACACCATAAGTCCTAGAATGCAGCAGATAAGATAATATAAAAAATTTTACTAGAAAAAAACTCTTTATTGGTTGCTTCAAGTGCAGCGGCTACTCTTAAAGTCAGCAGATGCCCTTAAAATTATTTAAATCATGCCATCAACGGATTTGTATGCCGAAAAGTAGCGCAGACCAATAAAGTAGGGTTCCAACATTCAAAGGTCTAAATTTTTAAAAAACGGACTTTGGACAAGTCAATCAACAGACATGGATTATAAATACTAAACAGCAACAAGAAGTAAATACAGATGGTTGGACAAAGGTCTGGTATCAAAACGCTGAAGGTTTCACTTTCATGGATGTGATCATGGATGGCTAAAAAATTGAAAACAGATCTAATGCTGCATTAAACTGCTAATAATTATATATCACGTAGTCATATTGGCAATCACATTATTGAAGCATCTTCTATACAAAAGAAATATGTAGTCGTTTCAAAAGAAAAAACGACTATAATTGTTTATAGCTCGATTTTTGAATAGTAGTGAAATATAATAACAAAATGTCTTATTTAATACCTAAGCAGAATTGTTTTTGGTTTTTAAGTCAGTATAATTGTTGGACTACAAGTGGCAGTCTCAAGACTTTGAACCTATAAAATTAGAAGCTAAATCCGCACAAAGTAGTGAAAACTTTTATTGTTCAAATTTAAAGTGTAAAAATTATATACAATAAAAATTTTATACTGACAATCGGACTATATCGGATTATATTACCAACTACAGCGCACAACGCATTTTTATAAAATGTATTTAAATAGAAACAATCCATTGATTCACTGAAACCGAAAGGAAGTTCCATGTGTTCTGGGCTTCTGAGCGCATTGATTTTTTACAAATCGAGATAGATAACGAAATTGATAAAATATGCACATAATCACCACTGAGGATCCAGACTGACATCAAAATTGTCATCAACCGCGTATACAACGATTTTATGATAAAAACAGAAATAACTTTTGGGAAAGACAACATCTGTAAGGTAAGAAGAGCCTGCTACAATTCTTCCAAGAGATTTCTTATAAATTTTGTAGTTCGTTATTATCGTAACAGTTCGTAATAGTAATGATTTAAAGTAATTATTGTGACACTGATGGATCAGTGACTATTAAACCCGCGAAAAAACATTTTCTGATTGGGAGCAGAACCAGGAATACTTAGTTGTAGTCACCTTATTGGTGATTTGCGATCACACCCTATTAATTGCACTAAGTGGTATCGCTAAGGACTTTAATACCAAAGAGTCCAATATATTTTCCAGCTTGTAGGGTTTCTAAGAAAAGTTTATTCAAAAACACCTCTAATTGTAAACATTTCAAATGAACAAAAATTTTCAGTATTTAAAATATTGATAAATTTGATGCCCTATTTATTATTAAATTATATAAATCTTGGAAATTGTCGTTACTGTAAATTATGATAAAGAATTTTCCCAAATAGATTCTTTTCAGCAATCTGTGTTATTGTTCACAAAGAAAATAGACTTAAAGGTCTCTTACTTTTATTTCCTTTTCCCCCCTCAGTGTTTGGGAAAAATATTATTTTTCTGTAAATTGAATGAATTTTGTATATTTAAATAAGCAAGCTAAATAGAAGTCAAAATTCGAATTAAATTTAACTTCAATTGAAAAATATTTAAAAACTATCAATCAGTCTGATTGTGTGTTAGAAAATCAGGTCCTTTGCTAGAGGTATATCGTACCAACCAATTTATTTTTAATAGAAAGCAAGAAACAACTTTTACTACAAACAGAGTCCGAGTAGTTTAGTCCATTGCCAAAGCTTAATAATGGATCGCCAGAAATTAAAACAAGTGGTGTCTTCAAATAGTGAAGCTGATGCTGCGACTGGAAAAGCACTTAGATGCAAATCTATTACTGTTAGACGCTCCATTATTGTTACACGCTCTGTCACGGCACGGATGTTAAGTGGAAAATGTGGTAAGGGTAAGGTTAATACAGATGCCGTAAGAGCCAGAAAGACTCAAGCGAAAAAAGACACTAAAAAGAAAGTAAAAGTTATTAAGAAGGAACGTGAAAACGTTAAGTGTATTAGGACCGAAATGCAGGATGAAAAAGCTAAGCCCAAGAAGAAGGTCAACAAGAAGGTCAAGAAACAGCGCGTAAGTCCACCTACACCCACCCAGACGAAACGGAAGGAAATTTGTAAAAAGAAAAAGAATGCAAAATCTAGGAAGAGGAACGAAAAGCTACTACTAGAAAATGTCAATCAACTTCCTCGCTTTAGAAAAAGGAAATATACTGAAGAAGAAAATCACTCAGTGGTTCCTATTAAACGGAAGAGGAAATAAAGTTATGTATTTTTATATTTTTCTAATTTCATAAACTTTGTACAATATTTTTTATGCTCAAAATTTAAAGTTCACAAATTTTAAGTTCCAATTTGAAATTGCAAAATTTGAAGTTCAAAATTTGAAGTTCAAAATTTGAAGTTCAAAATTTGAAGTAAAAAATCTGAAGTAAAAAATTTGAAGTTAAAAATTGCAAGTTAAAAATTGTAAGGTTAAAAATAGGTGTGTCCGTCTTTAGTATATAAGATTGCTATAAGATTGAAATGGAAATGCCTAAAATTTTAAATAAATCAAAGTAAATATTCCACTGAATTGCAAATCATCATTGTCTTTCTTATTAAGTTTTTATCCGAGGTAACTAAGTTTTGACTGTGTTATACGACGAAAATTAATGAATTATCCAAATTAACACCAATTTGTGAGGTGGAGTGAGGTCGAGAGGTAATAACGTAATAACAGTAAACATATATATTAAATTATTTGCAGAGCAAATTTAATAATTAGTTCATTAAAACTGCTTCATAAAAGTAATTTTATTCGTAAAGTCCTTCTGATATATGTTTTCGTCATCAATTTTGCACAAAAATTTTGGTAGTGTTTTTAAGATATTGAACTCAGAAGAACTCAGAAGAACTCAGAACCTCATGAATATAAAGGAAAAACATTAAAAAAATGTTAAGCTAACTTAATTATAAGTTCCTGCTGTTACGAACTACTATAGACCGTTTAATATAAAATCCTTTAAATATGGTAAAGAAAAATAATAACATCAGAAACTATTAATACAATAAATGTTATTTTTTTAATATTCGAAGCAGAAAAAAAATATAGCTGCCAGTAAAAAATATCTGTTGAGCAACTGAAACATTTGTAATTGAAACCAGTAGTTGTGCGCACTACTACTTATTAACGATGTCACCAACAGATAAGATCTCTTTCTGGCAGACGTGACTTGCTTGACGAGGCTTTTGTTGTTAGAATAAGTACGTGAACGAAACCTAAGTTAAGAATTAACGGAATCAATTGGATCCGAAAGTAAAAGACCAAGAGATCTATTGAGCTACTTGCATTCATGTGTGTAGATTATTTCTCCAAGCCGAATTTCAATGAATTGTAGTTTTGTAGTACGAGTATTTGCTACCTCTTATGTGTCTATCTTATATCTGCTACCAATATTATATCTACGACCACAAACTCAAATTGAGTTTACTTTCGTCTTCTATCTGGAAATTGAAAATCTGTCTAAACTTCAGTACTGCAGAAATAGTGTGGATAGTTGATTAACTTTCTCCCATACTCTCCGTATCATTGATTAATTGGAACTAAAAGTTATACAGTACTGGGATATGTTGTTGTTTCAATGAGTATCTAAGAAACTATCAGTTTAAATCGAACGTTTTAATTCAAAGAATTTATTCAGAGATATATACATGATGTCAGAATATATATGCAAAATGATTATTTTTAATAGAATTTGTTAATCACTTTTAACACATAAATTTTTTTTTTTAAATATGTCTTACTATTTGAATATAATAAATACGAAAATAAATATTTATTAAGGTGGACTTTTTCTTTAGTTATATTTCAAGTTTTACTCTTCTTATTCAGCATCCCTTGTGTCCATATTGGAAGCATCATTTCCATCCTCGTCCTCAGTACGTATCCTTTTAGCTGTTGCAGCCTCATCAGTGCTACACCTTTTACGTTTTGCAATATTGAGTTTCTTCTCAAGTTTTGTTTCATTTATTACAACCGAACGGCTTATAGTATCACCACCACCATGTTGAGTTAATTCATCCTTCTTTCGCTTACCAAGATCTTGCGCATGAATGGATTGCTTTTGTCCACAGATTGTCTTTTCATCATTCACAACTCGAGAAGTTAAACCTTCTTCATTTACATTAAGGCTCTCTGAAATTGAATTTTTGCTACGACTACGTAAATTATAAACGTGTTCTATCTTGAGCTCTGTCTTTTCTACAGGTAATAGTTGCCTTTGTGGTAGATCATCACAAACGACACTACCGCGGATACTTAAATTACTGTCCGAAACTGACGTCTCATTACACACCATCGTTACCTGTTCAATTGGAGGAGATTGCGAACTGCAGCTCGATCCTGCTAAGTCCGTATTTGGTATTGCATCGTTTCCAGATGCTTCTGTGTTCCGGCTGTGGTATGACGGAGATTAATCACAAAAAGAAATTAGAGAAAAAAGTTTTTATGAATATTAATCTAATTTATAATTTTCATAAAAATTAATTACCTTTCTTCCACGTTTGATTTGCCAAATAATTTCTTAAATAACCACATAATTATTTTGATTGAAAAATATAGTATATATCAGTCAAATTCTTATGAAAATATTAAGAAATTTTTATCGAAAATTTTTTATTAAGTTGATTTGACTGTTCTTTTTTGTCATAAAATACAAATATATTTGAAGTGTCATTATTATTTATATATAACTTAAAAATAAAAACAAGAGTACTGGATTAAAATCTGATTATAAAACTTGTTATCACAGATTGTAAACCTGGACTTTCTGGACTTTGTGTTCTACTCTTATTCTAGAACGTGTTATTTCCATACGAATATTTCTTATGATCTATTTATTTATGTAGTGGACACATTGAAACCTTTCATTAAGTAAAAAACCTACTATTACTTATCTGTTATGAAGTCAGGTAATTTGCGAATAAAATTATTTAAAGTTGTCGGACCAATGTTTAAACAGCAAATACTTGATCTGTCTGCGATGAAATATTAATATATGTGGGAAAAATAAAAGTGAGATAAATAAATATGGGAATGACAGGTAAATACGAAATAAACTGAAATCAAATTATTTCAATTACGAGTACTATCAGAGGACGTAGTTATTATTGATTCTCTTATATTATTATTAAAAGGGTTTCTCCCCTTGTGAAAACCCAATCAATAAGCAAATGTTACTACGACCTTATAAAAACACCATAAGTCCTAGAATGCAGCAGATAAGATAATATAAAAAATTTTACTAGAAAAAAACTCTTTATTGGTTGCTTCAAGTGCAGCGGCTACTCTTAAAGTCAGCAGATGCCCTTAAAATTATTTAAATCATGCCATCAACGGATTTGTATGCCGAAAAGTAGCGCAGACCAATAAAGTAGGGTTCCAAAATTCAAAGGTCTAAATTTTTAAAAAACGGACTTTGGACAAGTCAATCAACAGACATGGATTATAAATACTAAACAGCAACAAGAAGTAAATACAGATGGTTGGACAAAGGTCTGGTATCAAAACGCTGAAGGTTTCACTTTCATGGATGTGATCATGGATGGCTAAAAAATTGAAAACAGATCTAATGCTGGATTAAACTGCTAATAATTATATATCACGTAGTCATATTGGCAATCACATTATTGAAGCATCTTCTATACAAAAGAAATATGTAGTCGTTTCAAAAGAAAAAACGACTATAATTGTTTATAGCTCGATTTTTGAATAGTAGTGAAATATAATAACAAAATGTCTTATTTAATACCTAAGCAGAATTGTTTTTGGTTTTTAAGTCAGTATAATTGTTGGACTACAAGTGGCAGTCTCAAGACTTTGAACCTATAAAATTAGAAGCTAAATCCGCACAAAGTAGTGAAAACTTTTATTGTTCAAATTTAAAGTGTAAAAATTATATACAATAAAAATTTTATACTGACAATCGGACTATATCGGATTATATTACCAACTACAGCGCACAACGCATTTTTATAAAATGTATTTAAATAGAAACAATCCATTGATTCACTGAAACCGAAAGGAAGTTCCATGTGTTCTGGGCTTCTGAGCGCATTGATTTTTTACAAATCGAGATAGATAACGAAATTGATAAAATATGCACATAATCACCACTGAGGATCCAGACTGATATCAAAATTGTCATCAACCGCGTATACAACGATTTTATGATAAAAACAGAAATAACTTTTGGGAAAGACAACATCTGTAAGGTAAGAAGAGCCTGCTACAATTCTTCCAAGAGATTTCTTATAAATTTTGTAGTTCGTTATTATCGTAACAGTTCGTAATAGTAATGATTTAAAGTAATTATTGTGACACTGATGGATCAGTGACTATTAAACCCGCGAAAAAACATTTTCTGATTGGGAGCAGAACCAGGAATACTTAGTTGTAGTCACCTTATTGGTGATTTGCGATCACACCCTATTAATTGCACTAAGTGGTATCGCTAAGGACTTTAATACCAAAGAGTCCAATATATTTTCCAGCTTGTAGGGTTTCTAAGAAAAGTTTATTCAAAAACGCCTCTAATTGTAAACATTTCAAATGAACAAAAATTTTCAGTATTTAAAATATTGATAAATTTGATGCCCTATTTATTATTAAATTATATAAATCTTGGAAATTGTCGTTACTGTAAATTATGATAAAGAATTTTCCCAAATAGATTCTTTTCAGCAATCTGTGTTATTGTTCACAAAGAAAATAGACTTAAAGGTCTCTTACTTTTATTTCCTTTTCCCCCCTCAGTGTTTGGGAAAAATATTATTTTTCTGTAAATTGAATGAATTTTGTATATTTAAATAAGCAAGCTAAATAGAAGTCAAAATTCGAATTAAATTTAACTTCAATTGAAAAATATTTAAAAACTATCAATCAGTCTGATTGTGTGTTAGAAAATCAGGTCCTTTGCTAGAGGTATATCGTACCAACCAATTTATTTTTAATAGAAAGCAAGAAACAACTTTTACTACAAACAGAGTCCGAGTAGTTTAGTCCATTGCCAAAGCTTAATAATGGATCGCCAGAAATTAAAACAAGTGGTGTCTTCAAATAGTGAAGCTGATGCTGCGACTGGAAAAGCACTTAGATGCAAATCTATTACTGTTAGACGCTCCATTATTGTTACACGCTCTGTCACGGCACGGATGTTAAGTGGAAAATGTGGTAAGGGTAAGGTTAATACAGATGCCGTAAGAGCCAGAAAGACTCAAGCGAAAAAAGACACTAAAAAGAAAGTAAAAGTTATTAAGAAGGAACGTGAAAACGTTAAGTGTATTAGGACCGAAATGCAGGATGAAAAAGCTAAGCCCAAGAAGAAGGTCAACAAGAAGGTCAAGAAACAGCGCGTAAGTCCACCTACACCCACCCAGACGAAACGGAAGGAAACTTGTAAAAAGAAAAAGAATGCAAAATCTAGGAAGAGGAACGAAAAGCTACTACTAGAAAATGTCAATCAACTTCCTCGCTTTAGAAAAAGGAAATATACTGAAGAAGAAAATCACTCAGTGGTTCCTATTAAACGGAAGAGGAAATAAAGTTATGTATTTTTATATTTTTCTAATTTCATAAACTTTGTACAATATTTTTTATGCTCAAAATTTAAAGTTCACAAATTTTAAGTTCCAATTTGAAATTGCAAATTTGAAGTTCAAAATTTGAAGTTCAAAATTTGAAGTTCAAAATTTGAAGTTAAAATTTGAAGTAAAAAATCTGAAGTAAAAAATTTGAAGTTAAAAATTGCAAGTTAAAAATTGTAAGGTTAAAAATAGGTGTGTCCGTCTTTAGTATATAAGATTGCTATAAGATTGAAATGGAAATGCCTAAAATTTTAAATAAATCAAAGTAAATATTCCACTGAATTGCAAATCATCATTGTCTTTCTTATTAAGTTTTTATCCGAGGTAACTAAGTTTTGACTGTGTTATACGACGAAAATTAATGAATTATCCAAATTAACACCAATTTGTGAGGTGGAGTGAGGTCGAGAGGTAATAACGTAATAACAGTAAACATATATATTAAATTATTTGCAGAGCAAATTTAATAATTAGTTCATTAAAACTGCTTCATAAAAGTAATTTTATTCGTAAAGTCCTTCTGATATATGTTTTCGTCATCAATTTTGCACAAAAATTTTGGTAGTGTTTTTAAGATATTGAACTCAGAAGAACTCAGAAGAACTCAGAACCTCATGAATATAAAGGAAAAACATTAAAAAAATGTTAAGCTAACTTAATTATAAGTTCCTGCTGTTACGAACTACTATAGACCGTTTAATATAAAATCCTTTAAATATGGTAAAGAAAAATAATAACATCAGAAACTATTAATACAATAAATGTTATTTTTTTAATATTCGAAGCAGAAAAAAAATATAGCTGCCAGTAAAAAATATCTGTTGAGCAACTGAAACATTTGTAATTGAAACCAGTAGTTGTGCGCACTACTACTTATTAACGATGTCACCAACAGATAAGATCTCTTTCTGGCAGACGTGACTTGCTTGACGAGGCTTTTGTTGTTAGAATAAGTACGTGAACGAAACCTAAGTTAAGAATTAACGGAATCAATTGGATCCGAAAGTAAAAGACCAAGAGATCTATTGAGCTACTTGCATTCATGTGTGTAGATTATTTCTCCAAGCCGAATTTCAATGAATTGTAGTTTTGTAGTACGAGTATTTGCTACCTCTTATGTGTCTATCTTATATCTGCTACCAATATTATATCTACGACCACAAACTCAAATTGAGTTTACTTTCGTCTTCTATCTGGAAATTGAAAATCTGTCTAAACTTCAGTACTGCAGAAATAGTGTGGATAGTTGATTAACTTTCTCCCATACTCTCCGTATCATTGATTAATTGGAACTAAAAGTTATACAGTACTGGGATATGTTGTTGTTTCAATGAGTATCTAAGAAACTATCAGTTTAAATCGAACGTTTTAATTCAAAGAATTTATTCAGAGATATATACATGATGTCAGAATATATATGCAAAATGATTATTTTTAATAGAATTTGTTAATCACTTTTAACACATAAATTTTTTTTTTTAAATATGTCTTACTATTTGAATATAATAAATACGAAAATAAATATTTATTAAGGTGGACTTTTTCTTTAGTTATATTTCAAGTTTTACTCTTCTTATTCAGCATCCCTTGTGTCCATATTGGAAGCATCATTTCCATCCTCGTCCTCAGTACGTATCCTTTTAGCTGTTGCAGCCTCATCAGTGCTACACCTTTTACGTTTTGCAATATTGAGTTTCTTCTCAAGTTTTGTTTCATTTATTACAACCGAACGGCTTATAGTATCACCACCACCATGTTGAGTTAATTCATCCTTCTTTCGCTTACCAAGATCTTGCGCATGAATGGATTGCTTTTGTCCACAGATTGTCTTTTCATCATTCACAACTTGAGAAGTTAAACCTTCTTCATTTACATTAAGGCTCTCTGAAATTGAATTTTTGCTACGACTACGTAAATTATAAACGTGTTCTATCTTGAGCTCTGTCTTTTCTACAGGTAATAGTTGCCTTTGTGGTAGATCATCACAAACGACACTACC